TTGTTTAAAAACCGTAATTTGATGAAATAGATGTTTTTGTGTGTCTAAAATGTTATAACCCGCGATTCTTCTATTCTTATTGTACACTAGTATTTCATCCGTGCGATGCACGAAGTAATATTTTATTTAAAAATTATTAATTAAAAAATAAAATTAAAAAAATATAACAAAATAAAAATCATTACTGCAAATATCATTAATAGATTGTGTTTTACTTTAAAATTTAATTTTATAGACGATTTTAAACGAATTTAAGAGTTATATTAAATTTAATTTAACAAATTTTAACGTGAGGGTGCAAACGATGAGATTGATAAAAACTCAAGGGGTAACTAATTGATTTTTCAAAATGCAAGGTTGCATTAGTAATTATGGCATAACCTTAGGGGGCTAGTTGCGATTTCCCCTAGGATATAACTGCTTTGGAAATAATAATTGTATTTTCATTTTTTCATGTGTTTTCTATACAGTTTCAATGTGTCCTTTACCCTTCTCCGGCATTGGCGATACTTGCTGTGTTAGTTGGCCGATGGTTTATATTAATGTAGCTGTCATATTTTTTTCTTCTGTGCTTGTGCCGATACACTTGATATGAATTTTCCATTTGTAATAAATAAATTAAAAACGTAATTGTGGGGAAACTGACCCGTGCTTCTAGAATGGACCATCTTTGGCCAGAAACTTCTTGTGCAAGACTTCTTTTGCTATTATATAGTAATAGATTTCCCCCTTATATTTCTTACTAATACCTGTACATTTTTATGCTAATAATTATGAAAATTTTATTAATCATTTATTATCTTTATTTTAAAAGTTAAAGATTTACATATTCTGACATATTGCTCTTACTGAATAGAATAACAGTAACATACACTTAAACAATTGGGCCGCTTGGTAGGCTATCAGTGTTAGCAGTTTTAATTTGTGTTCTGATATTGAAGAATTGTCTCTTCTTCATTTCTTCCAACAATAATAAAGTGTGTATTATATTGTTTAAGCCATTTTTCGTAAGCTAAACTATGTAAAATACGACTTGTATATTCGGAAACAGCAAATCAATTGGGTATCATGCAAAAATGAAAGGAATAATGAGAAATAACAAAAATATCTATATATTGATAAACTTATGAATATTTCAGAATGTTGTTTGAGAGTACATGTGTGTCTTAGAGTGTGAGTGAGTGAGCATGCTTCTTCTTTACAATGGATTCACCCCTACATTTAAAGGAAAAAGTAATCAATGCTTCTGGACATTTCATCCCTTGAGACGGTTTGACCATTTCATCCGTTTCGTCAAACCTGATCTGTCAGACTTAAAATCTGGACCCGTTGCAGCAACTGGCATCATTATTTCTTTTCGAATTGGTTGTCCGTTTTAGCAACCTGAAGTTGTATCCCATTTAATACTAAGAACTCTTTTAATAAATGAAAGAACGGTACATTCTAACTTTTATCAAAGTTCTCAATCGTTCCGTCGTTATCTCACGATTTGATCCGACAACTTGATGACTCATCATAAAGATTGGTTAACCTAATTATCTTCATCCTTTATTACATTAATGCACATATTAAAACATAAAAAACATGCTAAAAGTCTCATTACGTCTAATAAGTGTACTATTAAACTTCAATGATCAATTCTCATAAATGTAGAATCAAACCGTCAAATATTTTGTCCAACACTTACTTAATTAAAGTTTTATGTTACTTCAGTCTTGTGTTACGATGCCATAAAATTGTATTGAGAATTAAAATATAATCACTTTAAGCTTCAACAACAAAAATTAGCCCATACATACATACATACATACATACATACATACATACATACATACATACATACATACATACATACATACATACATACACACATACACACACACACACACACACATGTGTGTGCGCGCGTGTGTTTTGGTTCAAATAAGAACATGATCTTAGGAGAGAAATGAGAACGAATCTGGACCGTTAGATTTGCTTTAAGTGAAATTCAACGTGCATTAGATGAAACTGTAATGTGCATTAGGTGAAATTGAAATGTGCAACACAAAACGTATGATACAATGTCATTAAGTGAAGCTGAATTGTGCACTAGGTGAAATTGAACTGTACACTAGGTGAAACTGAAATGTGCAGAATAAATGGTACGATGTTATGTTATTTTAGTACATTTTATTCCGCACATTTAAGTTTCACCTAATGCACTATTGAGTTTAAATTTTGATTTTGCACATTTCAGTATCATGTAATACACATTTCAGTTTCATCAAATGCACATTTCCGTTCCACATAATACAATCCAACGATCCAGATTTGTTCTTATTTCTCTCTTGGGGGTCCGTTCTTACCGAAATCGCTCACTATATATATATATATATATATATATATATATATATATATATATATATATATATATATATATATATATATATATATATATATATATATATATAAGACCTCAATGTATCCATAATTATCACCTTTAATATCAAGAATGGTAACATAGTAATTGGCTGCACCAATTATCAAGGTAGCTATACATGAAGTTCAATGGAGTATTGTTTATAAAATTAGTATTAAAAAATCCAAAATGGAATAAAGATCAATGAGTTGAATTAAAGATATCGTTAATGATACTTCCATATCTTCATAATTTATAAATTTATATCAATCTTCTATAGCTTAGAAACTAATGCAACGCAGCAACGGTAATACAACCTTTAAACGTATCATTGGCAAACAACACACGTAATAGAATGTGAATGTTCTAAATAAACCAGATAAATCTATATGTGTAAGAGAACATATTATCACTACATTGTTTGAGGATCATATATGTCATGAGATGTGTTAGAGAAATTAGAATGAGAAAAGATGATAAAGAATCAACATTTTGATGAATTATGGAAAGCTTCATTGTACATACACGATTGGGTGTCTAAAAATCATAACATGATATGTGTGGGTATTGAAGTGCGTTTAACATCATTAACATGTTTGCTACCTGAGTTATACTATCTTTTAATCAAGTTTCAATTAGGATGACTTGCGTTGTGACACACACTCATGTCTATTCCATGAATGACCTATGGGGTGGCTGAACTGTGCGGTAAAGTGGGCGGGTTCGCTATTTGCAGCATTCCTGATTATAAAAAGGAGTGTCAAGAAATTGTGTGAAAACCAACTTTCATATATTTTATACTACCCTTGTCCCAGTGGACTTTGTCGAGTGCAAAGTATGTGAGAAATAAGAATAGTAAAAACTATGTGGTTGATATTTGTGTAGAGGAGAGAGAAATGTGAAGAAGCACACATTAGTTGATTTAATAAGAAGGTGACAAAGTTTTTTGGGACAACCATAAAGGGAATATCGGCAAAGTCCAGTGAGCAAGAGAGAGTATGAAGTATTCCCAAAGTTAAAGGGTCGACATTTTAAAGAGTATGTTGATCAATTCATTTGAAGTAGAGTAAAATACTCAAAATCATATCATCAGATGATCACAACATTGAAGATTTGAAAAGCAAATAAAAACACACATGCCATGAGTCTGTAATCAAATTTTATAGTTTGTATTGCATGAAGGTATTAAGTAGTACATTGATCATCTCATACGTGAAGGACATGAGAATGCACTGAAATAAAATACTCATAATCATATCATACATAGAACTGCAACACCAATGTTTTGAGCCGTAAATATAAATGAATATGTCATATACAATTCAACCACAATAATCAAGTTTAATTATAGTCTTGGACTACATAAGCAAACATTAACCACGCCGTTTACTTTGTGCTTCATCACCATCATGTTATAGACTCTCTTAAGTGATATACATTCCAGAACACATTGTTGTCATAGTTTAAAACATCAACTATCAACTATGCACACTATGTACCACACACCGTGTTCTAGCTGAGTGCGTTCCTCCAAAATGTTCCTCTCTACTTGTTAAATGCACAATTAATCATAACACGCAAGACATATGATTTTAAGATAATTAAATCTATCGTTGTAAGACATTAAGGGTATGATTAATGATATAACGTAAGCAATTTGATGCATTTATTTGACGATGTGTTAATTTGCAGATTTTGTACTTCATACATCGTAAACTAAATATCGGGTTAATCAACTTTTTTATTTCAAAATATTTTCCATTTTATTAAACTAGTACATGATTATGCAAAATATATCACATTTGTTCATGTTAATTATCATCACCTTGAATATTGTGTGCTTTAAATTCAACATACAGCTATTACTAAAGAACTTGTGTAGGGTTATTATTGTTTTTGAAGTTTGTAATATATGTGAATATTTTCAATACACTTTATTATTATACAATTTAGAGCGTGGTAAAAAATCAAGTTATAAGACTGATAAGCTCTGATTTCACATAGTGCAATGTGTATACTATTCCATCCGTTCCTTTCTATTTAGTCAAATTTGACTTTTCACGTCCATGATGTCTAGCTTTGACAAATTATATATTTACACACATATGTATCGATAATATGAAAACGATATCAAAATGTTTTTTTTGTCAAAAGTATTATCATAAAAGTATAAAACGATTAAATTTTACATAATAGTGTCATGTTTGTTCGACACGAGGATTAATAAATATAAATTGTGTGATTGAGGTTGTGCAAAGAAGAAAGAATTGACTGAAATAACAGATTCTTTACTCAAAATGGAAAACGACAAAGTTAGTGAGATAACCAAAAAAGAAAAGTTGACAAAACTTGAAAGAACAAAGATAGTACAATATTAGTTAAATAATTGGTCAAAGTTTACCATTTTTGACCGGAAAAGCTAGAGATGTCTAAATAAAAAAGGACGAAAGTATATTATTTATATCAAACACCAAAATTTTACAATGAAAATGAGCTGAATAAAGAAAAAAAAAATGTTTAAGCACTATTAACTTTTGTAAAACATGCAAGAAAATGAGTTTTTAGGTACTGGGATTTGGAACATTACATTCAAATTAACCCTAACAAAGACTTCTAATTACAGGAAGTCAAAGCTAATAATTGGCAACTGCGCTCTACTTGTTCAAAGGAAGGTTGAATTGATTCCCAGCCGCAGTCTTCCATGGCTTCAGATAGCGTCTCTGTGAGTCTTTAGCGCAGCCATGTCTCGTCTACAGAGTTCTATTTTGATGGTAGAGCCGCAGAAGCAACACATAAACCGAAAAAAGGGTAAACATATAAATAAATAAATAAATAAAAATATAAATAAACTGATTATTAACCATGAAGTCAGCACACCAAAGGGCAGCCAGCACACCCCACCGATACACATTGTCTGATTACAGCAATCTTTCATCGTAGATTACTTAAATTCGTCTCTCTATAAAAATATATATATGGATTGCTGCATACGTATGCAGAGGGGAAGACAAACAAGAGTCTCTCTTCACCGATTCTCAATTTGTACAGAACGCGACGTTTCTCTATCCATATATTCCGGCTTTTACCTCCTTGCCGATCAAAAAGCTTCCTGAATTTGCTGCTTATGAGGTATCATCACATTATGATTAACATGGGTTTCTTGGGTTTCTTTGGCTTTATTTGGTAAATTTGTAATGAGGGTGCCTTGTTTGCTCGATTTGGTTATGTTTACCTTGGATTCTTTATATGATTGAATTTCTATATCTGAATTCTTTATTCTTTATTGCCCCTCTCTTGTTTGCGAAAAACATTTGAGCGTTTTTGGTTAAGTATTAATTATTATTATTACCATCCGATAGACTGGTATCCACAGAGTAAGAACTTCTCTTTTAAATTTTGGATTGAATGTAGTCATTTATGCACTGACCCGCTATTCATAACAACAAAAGGGGGTTTCCCACCTTAAAAAGTAAACGATAAATCTGTTTTTCCTGTGTTTTGCGCTAAATATTCTTTCGGTGTACTCCATTTGAGGAAAGGTCTAACTTTTAAAACAACAATTTGCACATACATTTCATTGTTCTTGAGCACACAAAGTTTTTAAGGAAATATATCAATTGGCATCTGGTTTCTATATTTGAAAGTATCAGTCGTTCAAGCCCGCTCCATTAAACTTCAATCGTAGAGCATGCCCTTGCATACACCATGTTATAGTTTTCATTTGCTGATATGCTGTTTGAAGTTGTGTAGTTTCTTTGGCTTTTCTGGTCATATCGGCTCATCCCTTTTTAAATGTTAGTTCCTGTCAGTCTGTGCAGATTCAGACAGCTTGTTTCACAATAGGACTGGAACGTAATTTGCTAAAGAAAAGCGATGCCAGAATTGCGCAGTGGTTTACGGAGATCAAAGCGGCTTGGTGAAATCCAGCTCCAGCCGACCTATCAAACTGATATCCAAGAAGAGGATTTGACATTTCCTACCCAGAATGGAACTAGAAGAAGAGGTGGAGGTGGAAGAGGAAGGGGACGAGGAAGGAGTAATGCAGCAGCTATACCAAAAGGTCCTTCAGCAGGAGTTCGTGGGAGACCAGTAGGAACAGGTAGAGGGAATGCAGTCAGATCTATAGACCTGTGTCTTGCACCGCCTTGTGAGATTCTTCCACAAGCTTTTGCCACCGGTATAGCAGAACCAGCTTTTAATAGAATTGAAGGTGCCGGAGACAAAGATGTAGCCTTAGATGGATGTAGTGCAGATAAAATAATGGGAGCTGAAGAAGCGAATACAGCTCCTGTGCCCGAGAGGGTACCTTCCTGTTTGTTTTACTCCATTTTCCATGTTTCTGTGGAAACACAGTTATAAAATCTGTTCAATCCATGCAGCTTGTTAGTTCTGCTTATTTGCTTACAATTTTTCTACCTTTCTCCCTTCATGTTTTAAAAAATCATATTGATTTAAAGATGGGGCATCTGATATTCTGCACAGCAGCAGTGTAGTGTAAAAATTACCTCCACGCTCTGCGTTCTTTTTATTATATTCAAGTTCATATTCAGGCCTTTGCAATTTACTCTCCATTAGAGAATCCTTAAACTTATTGTTTGACTGGATGTAGGTGCAAGTGGGCAATTCTCCCGTATATATAACCGAAAGGAAGTTAGGAAAAGGTGGTTTTGGCCAAGTCTATGTTGGTAGGAGGGCAAGCGGAGGCATAGGCAGAACAGGACCAGATGCTGTTCAGGTTTTTTTTTCTCACCCCATTATGGCCTCTCAGACCTTATTCAATTCATTTGGATGTATTACACCAATGGTGTTTTTGCAGGTTGCTATAAAATTTGAACACCAAAATAGTAAGGGCTGCAACTACAGCCCTCCTAATGAATGGCAAGTGTACAAGTAAGTATCAGCCTTTAGTTTCAGGATCTGAAGCTTAGGTTATTGCCTTTATTAAACTATAACCTTAAGTGGCTTTACTGATTATCTTTGCCTGAATTTGTTTTGAGAAGCACTGTCAATGGATGCTATGGAATTCCGTGGGTTCACTACAAGGGTCGTCAGGGAGAATTTTATGTCATGGTAAGTGTTACTCCGTATTATTTACTACTTGTACATGAAATCTTACTTGTCTTGTTTTGATGTGTGCAAAATCTCACATTATTTCAGGTTATGGACATGCTTGGACCAAGCCTTTGGGATGTATGGAACACTTCGGGTCAATCGTAAGATATTTATTTCCCTCTCTATTTGTCTTTCTTATGCACATCGTCTCATGTAGGCATCCATTATCTCTCACCTGTTGTAAAAAATGCATACCGGGATCTATCTAGTACAGTCAGCATATGTCTTGTTAATGATCACTGCATACCACAGGATGTCACCAAGTACAGTGGCCTGTATTGCGATGGAGGCAATTTCAATTCTTGAAAAGCTTCACTTGAAGGGGTAACTTGCATTCACTTCTGATTCCAGCTATAAATTGGCTACTATGCATCTTTTTACTTATTCTTTCTGCATTTCAAAGGTATTATTATTATTTAGAATTGCTATACTTAACTTTTAGTTTCTCCCCCTTGTTCGTACATCAAGTTATGTGCACGGTGATGTCAAGCCAGAGAATTTTTTGCTTGGACAGCCTGGAACTGTTGATGAAAAGAAGCTGTATCTTGTTGATCTTGGTTTGGGTAGGATGCCTTTAATTTATATATCCTCAATTTATAATACCTTGGGTTCTTCTTAGTGCTCAGTTTTGTTTATTTTACACTGCACTGCATAACACACATTATTTTGAATTTCTTGGTCATCTTATTGCACTATTGTGTATCATTCATAGAGTTTCTTTCCTTGATTAACTGTAACAAATGTTGCTCCTTTTACTTTTAATATTTATTCAGCATCTAGATGGAAAGACTCGGCATCTGGTGAGCATGTTGAATATGACCAACGACCTGATATATTCAGGTTTTGAAAAATTTATGTGGTGAAATTTTTATCCTTAGTGAATTTGCAGTAACAGACTAACACCTTTCTATTGACAGGGGTACCCTTAGATATGCAAGTGTACACGCACACCTGGGTCGGACGGGAAGTCGAAGGGATGATCTCGAGTCTCTAGCATATACATTAATATTCCTCATTAAAGGAAGGTTACCGTGGCAGGGCTGTCAGGTCTGAGATAGTTTAACAATCCCTCTGTCCAAAAAAAGAGTCCGGTTCGAGTAATGTACAACTGTTCTTAGTCAATAAGTGCAAGCTCTTAAGCTATAGGTGGTCTGTTCAACTTGGTTCGTTTTTTTGGAGTGGTCGACTAAACCGCTTGCCACTTGGCTTCACAGGATTTTTTAAATTAAAAATTAAAGACGACATTTAAAACCAGACTCTTTATTGGGACAAAAAGAAACAGGTTTCTTTTTTTAGGACAAAAGGAAACATGACTCTATTTTTGTGGTGGAGGCGTTGCTCATTTTGGGTTCCCTCTTTTCTATTTCCTTTCCACCTTAACTTATTTTAATGTAGCAGGGCGAAAACAAGAATTTTCTTGTTTGTAAAAAGAAGATGACCATTTCTCCAGAGTTGATGCGGTGTTTCTGCCCTGCTCCATTCCAGCAATTTTTTGAGGCTGTAATAAATATGAAGTTCGATGAAGAGCCAGATTATGCGAAGCTTATTTCTTTCTTTGATACCATTATTGAACCATGTACTTCTCTCAGACCAATAAAAATCGATGGAGCTCTTAAGGTGCACCTGTCTACCTATATCTTCTTGCGTCCACTGATGCTTTTTAATGTTACCAGCTTTATATATATTGTGCTTCTCGTTGCTATCATCAGGTTTGGCAGAAGCGGGTAAGATTGACCCTAAACTTGGAGGAAGATGAGCAACCAAGGAAGAAAGTACGACTGGGTAATCCTGCTACCCAATGGATTTCAGTATATAATGCACGACACCCAATGAAGCAGAGGTATTTTCTTAGACGATCAAATATGTCAATCTTCTTTACTTATGAGTTATGACTAAATCACTGAAGTCATTAAACGATCTTAGAGCATTGCAATGGATTCCAAGAATCTTTGAACGGAAAGAAGTTATTTAGGTCTTAATTTTTTCCTATTACCTAAAAGTTGCCAAGTAAAGCATGTGTGAAGGCGCAGTCTCCCTACTTGCAGGACCTGATTACCTTTCACACTGATTTTCATGGTATTTATTTATATTTCCTGTACACTAAAAGATCCTCATTGATTTTCATTTCCACTTTTTTCCTTCTATTTGTGATACTCCTCTTGTCTATGTGTCCGTGAACATATTTTCATGAATCATCGCTCACCGTTTATTTTGTCAAATTGTAAGTTAGCTCATTTTAAAAGTGTGTATGTAGATATATTTTCAAACAACTGCATCCATGCGTGTGAGTATGTGACTATAGAAAGTTAAAGCACCAGAGACATTGAGCGCACTGCACTCTGATTGACATTCAATTTGAACTTTGACCAAACTTTAGATGCCAACAAACATCTATCATTTCCCTGAGCGAGTACTGCATAAAAATAATGACTATTTTCATGCATCTTTGTCCGATTTACCATGAGAATACATGATTTGATTCGAACTTCTATTTTTTTCAAATGAGCATGTTCACTTTATCACGTGCATGAGACTCACGTCATTTGATCATGATAATAACTTTATTGCATTCTAGGTATCACTTCAATGTTGCAGAGTCAAGGATCCGACAGCATGTGGAAAAGGGTAGGGAAGATGGTCTGTATATTAGCTCTGTGGCTTCTGGAGCAAACCTTTGGGCCATAGTCATGGACGGGGGGACAGGTTTTTCTTCACAGTGTTTTGAGCTTTCAGATGTCTTCCTTCATAAGGTGAATTTCTAAAATAGTTACTACTTTCTTAATCTACTGCTATTGTTTGTAGCCATATTCTCACAATCATAGATACCCTTTTGTGTTGGACTACTCTCAGGATTGGATAATGGAGCAATGGGATAAGAACTACTACATTAGCTCCCTAGCTGGCACAGATAATGGACATTCTTTGGTTGTTATGTCTAAAGGTTGGATACTAAAGAACTACTACATGCATATAGTTGCAGTTTTTAATAAAATTACAAAATGGGTGCATTATGTTATTGTAAAATCATATTATACATTTTACTATTTTAGGTACCCTTTTCAGTGATCAATTGAAATTTCTTATTGATTTTGGAAAGAATCATGTGTCATGTTGGACCAGAATTCTGGGGAACTTTAGCTCAAATAGATCTTTTCAGTGTTATTGTAAATGTACCGATCCAAGAAAATGGAGCTAACACATCAGAAACACAAATATCTCCCAATTTTTTTGGAAGGAATTAGTGAATAAAAAGGCAACCATGTTGTGATCATGCAGATGAAAGCTGAAAATAGTGTGGCATGCGTGTATTACTGACATTTATGAGGCAATAAAAACCTCATTTTTTTTGTAAGCAACAAAAACCTAGAATCACATCATGAAGGCGAACCATTCATAGGAAAAGACAAATCAGTCCATGGTCTTTATCTCAAGTACACGACACACTATGATGGTGGTACACGTAAAATAAAATGTATTGAATTGTATGGATATGTTAATGCATATTAGGCAATCACATAAAACACCATATATTCTTACCATTTGTGTATACCTAAATCTAAGAATAACCTTTAGAATTTAAGACGTGTTATTAATCATGTTATTACCTCAAGTAAAGCTTTATTAAATGCCTGTTTAAAAACAACGCTTTATGGCAAGACCTCATTCTATGGTGGTTGTGCAGGCTGCAACAAGTCATACGCTCTGGTATGGCAGAAGCACGCATTTAAAACTTACCAAAAACAAGATTGAAATAATATACTGAACTATTTATTCCCATATTTATTGATTTTACTATATGAATGGACATTTACATTAAGTAGGGGACTTGCTTGGACAACTAGGAATTCTGCCATATTTGGGATTCCTAAGAAGTGAGGAATAAAAATAACAATTCTGATACTCGATACTCTTACTTTTGCGATTTCTGATCTTGAGTTCAACAAAACTTCGGTTAACTCAATTAAGGAATATCATAATTATTCTATTAATTTCAACGAATACTTCAGCTCGAGCAGTTAAGTCTCTAGACTACATGTTATCTTTTAGGCAGGAGAAGTTAGGGTCAAGTTAAAACCGCCCAAGCGACTTTATTACTAATTTCTTTTTTTGACAGGTAACTTATTTTCTATGTCATTCAATGTTTTGTGTCCAATTTTTTTAAGAAGTGCCATTTTGCATGCCCATCATGCACACAGTGGCTTTTGAGATAGATTTCTTCCAAATAGCTAGCAACAATTTACCTAACATGGTAATTGATACTATGAGACTAACTCGTTGTCAGTAGCTGAGTATTTGAGTCTCTGCCTTGTGCTATTATTCTCCACTCGCCTCATATTAAATGTGTATAATGGGATAGTGCTTTCTCTTCCTTTTATTTGTATTTTTGTGAAAATGTATTTTAATTTAGCATATATTTAAGAAATTTAGGATGATTGATTCCCTTTTATCTTCATATTTATACATGTTCTAACTACATGTCATGTCTTTTGGAATATTAGTCAAACAGGCCACCATCCCATAGAAGGAAATAGCTAAACACATTTTCTATATCTTCTACATTTCTACTCAAGCTCAGGTTAAACAGGCATGGTTTTATTGAAGGACTATAAGAATATGCAAAGAACTATTAGGGAGAACAAGGCGGTTCGTAGTTTGTTGGTAAAAGTAAAATATATAGGTTGCCTCTATTGGTAACAATATAGGGTTGTCCATTGTAGTCACATGTGTGCCGCCTGGGGGCATAAGCGCACCAGGTGAGGTGCAATAGAGGTTCAGCGCCTAAGAAGTGCAATATAAGTGAAAGAAGCACAAAGAGACGCAGAAGCGCCAAAACTGCTCACCCAATTCGCATGGACTGGGAAAGGCTTCTCAGCTTATTTTTCTTTTTGGAAACATGATTTGGGCCTATTTTAAATAAACCCATATTAATAATAAGCTATAGCGCATCCATCTAATATGGGAAAAACAACATAAAGCCTGTAAAACCCTTCTCAGTCGGTGTACTAAGGAGTCTACACAAATTTAGGAAGTTCTTTATCGTGGCATTCTTTCCTGTGTTCGTCTGACACCCCACACAACCGCCCAAGGTAACCTCCTAGTTTTTTCACATCTTGTTTTTTAATTTCTTTGTTCTTTCTTATTCTTTATATTTTCATTCCTTCTGATTGTACAATCTATGTATTTGTTTCTTTATCTCTATATTTTCATTTAAAGTCTATATATTTGTTTTTTATTTTCTTCTTTTCTTTCATTTTCTTCTGCTTTATATTTTTTCTCCTAATAAGTTTTTTTGTTTGTTTCTTTTTCTAACTTGTTTCATATTTTTAACTATTGACTATGGTTTACAGTATATGGATGGTGAAACTTCAATTGTGGCTAGAAATGTTGAAATGAATAGTGGTAATAGTACATGGGCTCCTTTTTTAGTGATGATTGATCCTTCAGGGTCGTGACTTGGGCATTGGGCTACAACCAAACTAAATTTCATTCTTAGTTCTATTATTTAAGACTTAAGTTATGGCTTCTGATTTGGTGTTCTGTTTATGTGAGTAGTGTTTTTTGTTTTGCATTTAGTTCAATATTATGTTGAATAATTTATCACATTTGGTAATTCTAGAATAGTATACATAATATTTTCTAAACACTGCGCTTGACATGAGTCAGGCAAGAGTTTTTTTTTTTTGTTGCGCTTGCGCCTAAGACGATAGAGCACTCTAGCACCTTGAGCGTGCCTCACGATTTTGACTACCTCGGGGTTGTCTAATCTTTGCTCGTATTGAACTATAAGGTTTCATGTTACCAAACAAAGGAGAATCTTAGTTGTCCATCATTATCCACATCATTATCCTCAGGTGAGGACCTTGCTAGGTTATAACCAATCATTAGGCATGTCTCGGTCTGCTGATTGATGACAATGATGAATAAGTGAATACAAATAGTAAACAACTGATTTAGCTTTCCTTTGTACTCCCGTTTAAGACGTAGATGAAATGGACAAATTTCAAACATAGGGATAAAACCGAGTTCAAATAGGAAAATAATAACTATTTGTGCCTTTTTTGTTGTGGAATACTTTTTGGGTTTAGTGGGGGAGTTTCACACAAGTTCTCTGATATTCAAATGTTGTGCCCCTTCTTTCATGGCAAAAAAGACTGTATTATAGGCGAAAAGCGAAGTGCTTGTAGGGAGGAGAAGCTAAACCTCCACACAAGTGCACTAGTTCATCAAACCCTATTTATTTGTGGAATGTAAAACAAGTATCCTTCTCAAAATCAGTGAGGTTCTTAAAGATGGGAAATCTTCCAGCTCTACCTCTTTAAACTGGCCAATAATGTTCTTAATGATAGCAATTCTCTGACAAAACCTTTTCAATGGATGACCCTTGACCTTCAGACTTGAGTTGAGTCTTTGATTTCAGAAGCCAAGATGGATATATGTCCGGGATACCTGTGTCTGCTTTTTCGAGTTATGTTTTAGAGGGGTTCAGTGGAGAAGGGAGGGGAGGGCTTAATTCACTTAAACAATTTAGTAGGCATATTTTTAAAAAAAGATGTGAAATATTAGTTAGTAAAATGTTCTGGTCATATAAATACAACAACAACATTACCCCAGTGTCGCAAAGGCTCCCACCTACGGGGGGGGGGGGGGGGTAAGGGGGCTCGGATGAACTCAGCCATACCCCTGTACTAAAGCACAAAGAGACTGTTTCCGGATGGCCCATGATGAAAATCACGTTGGAAATTGCATCGATTGACTACTTTCATGACGAAGAAGCACAGGCAATTTAGTGAGCCATCTTTCTTTATTTCATCATATCCCGAACATAGCCCAAGTGTTCAGCTCATATACAGCTGTACAGCTGGGAACCTATAACTTCAATGCAAAATTAGAATATGTTTAGGACTCCTACAAGTATCACGTGCTTTAGAATATGTTCAATGCTAATTGGTGTTGTACTTCTGTATATCAAACTTGTACTCATTTTCCAGCCTTGGCAGCAATATCCTAAACTCCTAATTCATTTTGTTATATCCTGGAATTATTAGGAACTCCCTACACTCAGCAGTCTTACAAAGTGGGTGATTCTTTCCCATTCAAATGGATAAATAAGAAGTGGAAAGAAGGCTTCTTTGTTACATCCATGGCTACTGCCGGCAGTCGTTGGTGTGTGGTGATGTCCAGAAATGCTGCATACTATGATCAGGTGATCAAAGAAGTTTTTTCACCTCATTGTAATTTCTCCGCAAGTCCTTTGTCCTTTCGCTCAGCTCTTTTTCTGGACGTTTATAGGTGGTAGAGCTTGATTTCCTTTACCCAAGTGATGGAATTCACAGACGGTGGGAGAGCGGTTACAGAATTACATCCATGGCTGCTACTCCTGATCAAGCAGCTTTCATATTGAGTACACCTAGGTGTAAATTGATAGAAGAGGGCCAGGAGACCCTACGCACATCAGCCTTTCCAACAGCACATATAAAGGTGATAATTGCTACTCCCTCCGTCCCTCTTATATTGTCCCGTTTTACTTTTTCGGGAAGTCCCACTAAAATTGTCTCATACCATATTTGCTAAAGTTTGTGTGGTTCTAAATCATTCTTACTTTATTCTTACTTTATCAATTAATATCAACCACACAACCCCACTTTTCTTAATAATCGTGCCACTCTCTTCCGACCCAATATAAGAGGGACGGAGGTAGTACAAGCCAAGTGTTCCTTTATATTCATTACCTCATTTTTTATCTGCTACCCAAATGTATATAAGAAATTGTTCTAAATAAGAGTAAAAACAAGGGTGTTTCCCTAAATAGGAGTACTATGTTTTTCTCTCTAAAAAGGAGTAAATATTGTCATCCTGAAACCACGCTGCCACATTATGGCATTAATACTGTCATATCAATGTCTGATAGTGCCAATGTGCCATAAAATGAACTATGATTTCAGTACTTTACTCCTATTTAGAGAAAAAGTACCTACTCCTATTTAGGGCGACCACTTTGTTTTTACTCCTAGTATATATTTATTACTGTATCTCATTTAAGTTGTCTAACTTCCCGTTTAATACATCCTAAAACAACATCTGCTCCACTCTATCTGTTCTCAATTTCTCACACATGATACAACTCTCGGTTATTTACATGCATACAAATTATTAAGGATACAATTGTTTTTTATAATATCAACAATACCCCAACTAGTGATCTGGAGTAATGCAGAGCAGTAATAGACGAGGATTGGAGAGGATAGTGGTGGAAAACAAGCGATTGATGCTCTCTTGGTATTCTAAAGTAATACGGAGTAGTCATTTAAGAACGAATGTTTTTTTAAAGCAACGATTAGTTAAGAATATGTGGATCATTTCTTATCAATAAAATAAACATCACTAGTTTTTTTCTTTGCTTGTCAATTCACCATTATTGTTTCTTTGTCTGCTTAAATTGATTTGACTGTATAGCTCTTTTTAGAGGCAGCTTAGTAAAATACACCAAACTTTATAAACACCGCTATTTTATTTTTTTGGAGCGGGCATGTTTAGTTACTTTTCTGGGATTAATCTGGGGGCAGTATGACATGAAAAGTAGAGCTGTCTAACTCAGTGGGCATAAAGGAAAAGTGAATGAAATATTCAAAGAATCAGCTTTGTTAAATTATTTTCCTTTATATAATGTGCCAATGTTAATTGCATCATTTGCAATGGAACCAAAGATTCACTATTTTTTTGGCTTGGGAATATGATGTAAAAAATAAAACGACTCACTAAACTATTTGCGCTTCTTTATTATGACGCAATAGTCAATCCATGCAATCTTCAACACAATTTTCACCATGGATCATCAGGAAACAGTCTCTATGTGCTTTAGTACAGGGGTAAGGCTGCGTACATTGACCCTCCCTTACCCCCCTCCGTAGGTGGGCAGCCTTTGCGGCACTGGGGTAATGATGATGATGATGTGCCGATGTTGAAGAGTTTGGAGTTGGTTTTATTTTGTTTAGTTGTTTTATTCCATCATATTTTTTGGCTTGAGAGTATGATGGAATAAAGCAAAATGACTCACTAAACTGTCTGCGCTTCTTTGTTATGAAGCTACAGTTAGTCCATGCAATTTTTGACGCGATTTTCACTATGCGTCATTCAGAAACAGTCTCTGTGTGCTTTAGTGCAAAAAGTACATGGGTGTGATTGCGTACATCCGATCCCCCTTACCCCGCTGTAGGTAGGAGCCTTTGCGGCACATTAATGATGATGATGAGTTGTTTGACAACTTGTGCACTGAAAGTTTAAGCTTTACTCACACACATGGACCTATCCCACACATCAATGTGGGGTGGATTAGAGTCAGACCAACACAATAGTCTCAACTATCCATTTCTCTAACAGTCTTTAACTTGGGTTTCAGGAGAAGTGGTCTAGAAACCTGTACATCGATTCGATTTGTTATGGAAGAACTGTTTGCTGAACGGGGTCAGCTGTTGTGTAGTGAAGCAGTTATAAAATTACTATAGTGAATGAACTCTTGTGTTATGCTGTGGATTATTACCTGTTTTTCCTCCTTCCTCCATGTGCAACTCTGTATGACCGCAAAAATTGTAGACTGGTTTACCAGATTTGAACACAGGCTTGGCAATGAAGATCGATCAAGAAAGAGTGATGGTCTTCAAAGTTCTTAGTCTGAGTTTTATAATGGGTAACCTTATAGCGTTATACGTAATGAACACATCCTTCTTGATGTGTTTTATGTTTCTTTTAAACTTATCAGTTCTGAGGAGTTCTTATTAGCTTCAAGTTGTAGTTGCTAGATCACATATATACCCAAAAAGGAGAAAACAAGTGCTCTTCCAATTTTGGTATATCAGTTTTCCGTATCTTCATTCCTCAACCGTACTTGAAGAAATTAAAATCTTCATTGCGAAGGATGATAAAGTGAAAGCTGGGGTATGGGAAGTTTTGGCATTTTTTTCAGTTTCCGTACACTACTTATGGAAACAATACAATAAAGACGTTTTATACCTTTCTTTTAATTTAGTTCCCAGTTTCTGAAGAAAAAAGCAGTGTATTTGAAGTATTTGAAACTAGAACTATGATAGACACTCACTTTTTTGGAAGTATATTGACTATTTTTGAATATTTGGATATACTAAATGTGTATCATGTGAACTTTAAAAATTTGTACACAAAATCCTTTTTAAGTACTGGTATTTCATGACTTAAGAGCTTTATCTTGTCAACTTTAAAAATAACTAACATTCATAAATGAGCGTGTTTAAAAATGCGCACTGCATTTTAAGAATATCTGTTCTTTCATTAAAACTAGAGCTAATTATCAAAATAGAACTAAAAGTGACTCACTTTGCACAAAATAGGATAAAAAACTAAACTATGTTTTCATAGGACTAATTATGTGTGTCTTGGACAAATATACCCTTCTAGCTAGGAGTGGACTCGGGCCGGTTCGGGCCCGGCCGGGCCTCGGTTCAAGAAGGGGAGGCCCGGAACCGGCCCGGGTAAACCCCGGGTCCGGGCCGGGCCGGGTAAACCCCGGGTCCGGGTCGGGCCGGGCCTCGGGTATTTTTTTTGGGGGCTTTTCCTAGTTAACCCCCCCCACCCCTCCCCCTCACCCCCAAACCAACCCTAACCACCTCAAATGGCCCAAAATAACCAGCCCAACCCAAAAACTCAAAAAAAATTCAAAAAAAAAATTAAAATTGGCCCGGCCCGGGCCCGAACCGGCCGGGCCGGTTCACCTTTTGAAGGGCCCGAACCGAGAATCCACCGGGCCGGGTGGCCTGAACCGCCCAACGAACCGGTTCCTGGGCCGGTCCGGGCCCGCACAGTGGCGGGCCGGTCCGGGCCCGCACAGTGGTGGGCCGGTCCGGGCCCGCACAGTGGTGGGCCGGTCCGGTTCCGGGCCGGTTGGCCCGGCCCGAGTCCACCCCTACTTCTAGCTATTGAAATGTTTTAATTCATAATAAAATAATAAAAAATAATAAAAATTCGTAAAAAATACTAACAAACTAATAAAAATATTTTGACAATAATAATAATTAATTTATTTATTTTTTGTCAAAAACTATAAAAAATAAAAAAAATAAAAAAATAAAAAACTCAAAAAAATAAAATAAAATTCACCGCCGCCTCTGCCGCCTCTGCACCACCACCTCCAGTCACCAGGGGAAAAAATGCCAAGTTCATTACGAATGCCATATTTATGGCAGAAAAAAATGAAAATGTTGACATTCGCAAAAAAAAATATGCCACTTTTTTTGGCATTTTCAGAAAAAATGGCAGTTTTTAGGAAAAATGGCATTTTTTCACTGGCCGGAGGTGGTGGTGCAGGGAGGTAGTACAGGCGGTGGGAAAGGCATCCATATTTTTTTTTAATTTTTTTATGGAGTTTTACTATTTTTTATTAATTTCTTTTTTAAAAAAATTATTAAAAAAAATGAATTTTTTATTTTATAAATATTTTGTAAATTTTTTAATTATTTTTCTACGAATTTTTGATTTTGTTTAGAATTTATTATGAATTAAACATTTAATTATGACTTTTGACTATTTTTAATTCACATTTAATGAAAGGGTAAGAATGGAAGGTAAAAATAGGTATGTTTCCAAATAGGACTCATATGGTCCTATTTTGGAATAAAAACATAGCAAGTCCTGTTTTGAGTTTTTGCCATTGTTTTAGTCCTATTTGAAGTAATTTCTATTAAAACTAACACGAATTCATTTTCAATAAAAATATCTTTCCGAAATAGACATTCTCTTTCCGCTTAGATTATCAGGTGTTTTATATACTCCCTCCGTCCCATTTAAATCTTTACACTTTCCTTTTTGAGATGTCTCATTTATTCTTTGACGTTTCTTTTTTAGGCAACTCCTTTTACATTAAATGTCTTAACTACCCTTTCACTATCCATCCACTTTTTACATTTGAGTGGATATCATTACATCCGCTCAAAAGTTAAAGGACATGCAAGACATGTGTTCTTCTATTTATTGAGCTCCTAAATTACCGTGTCAAAAGCAAACGTCAAGTTCTATCCGGGACGGAGGTTGTAATTGGTTTTCTTAGATATACGTTTTTGGTAAACTGAATGTTAATCTATATTCAGTTTTATATGTATAATAAGTACCGATCAAGTATTCGGTTGGAATAGTTTTATAACTATTGCAAATTTTATGGTCTTTGACAATAATTTTTGAATTTAAATTACACTATAATTTTTTGTGCACCTGTTAATAGTAAAATGACTTAGTTATTTGAATCTTAATTAAGTGAAACTTTTGGTGAAAAATGATATTATCTTTCAGATTGTTTCAATGAACTCACAAAGTTTAATCTCCATTGCAAAAACAAGTTCTTATTTAGAATAGAAAATACAATAATACTCCCTTCGTCCTGAAAAGGTTGGCCAAAGTTGACTTTCACGTAGATTAATAAAGTAAAAAGTGTGTAATTGAAATTTGTGCAGAGGAGAAAGAATTAATTTTAGTCTCATATTCCTTACTTTAAATGGAAATGACAAATCTTTTTGGGACATCCAAAAAAGGAAATTTGACCGACCTTTTCGGGACGGAGGGAGTAATAAACTAATGGCGAATCACTAAACAGCATAACACTTTTTTGTTCTTCATTATTTGTATCAGTTGGGGAAATATTGAATGATGGCTTAGGAGTAACATACAATTTGACTCTACTACCAGTCTACCACCACAATTAATGGTTTTATATGATTGTAATAGTAATGACTCGTCAGTATTGCATTTGTTCACATATGAATATGATATCAGGCAGGGCCGGTCCTGAGGAAATGAAGGCCCTGTGCAAAAGAAATAATTGAGCCTTCTTTTCAAAGTTTCAATACAAGTTAAAAAATCGAACCGAAACCGCACCGACTCAAACGGGACCCGAAAGTCGGGACTCGAACATAAATCGGTTTAATGAAGGTTTTTTGAGTTATAAAATCGGTTCAAACCGAACCGAACTGATTTTTATTAAGAAGTATTTTAATTATTTATTTTGTAAAACAAATAGGTAATATAAAATTTGTACGTCCGTATTTCAACAATTAGTTGATTTGATCCGGTGGTTGATGTTTAGAAATCAGCATGCATGCTTTTATTTTCACCTGGGTTCAAATCCCACATGCCTCGCTTCTTTTCTTTTTTGTTTCTAAAGCTTAAGATTCCCACACCGGTGGAAACGGAGGATTTACTACTCCTTCGTTCCTATATACACGCTCCTCCTTTGGGACAAGAGAGGGTGACACGCAAATTAATAAAAAGTGATTTATGTGGTTGATATTGAATTGATAAAGTAAGAATAAAGTAAGAACGATTTAGAGTCACACAAACTTTATCAAATTTGGTATGAGACAATCTTAATGGGACAGACCGATAAGGTAAAATAAGACAATCATAGCGGGACGGAGGTAGTAGTATACTACTACAAAAGAAGATGGGCTCTTCCAATTTTTTGGGCCATGTGCGGTTGGACACCCTGCACACCACCAGGGCCGGCCCTGATACCAGGCGTTGGTAACTTGTTTTGCATTTACACCGGTGTTAAACCAATTAGATGATTGTTAAAAGGGTGTTGCTTCATGCACCCCCAAAATTGCTTAATCTAACCCTTGGTGGACAAATTTGGCCTTTTTAATTATCAAATAAAATTAATTAAGTATAATTAAAACATAAATAAAAATTTCTTTGTGCACCTCCACCTCCATGCCCGCGGATCCTCCATATCATTTTTGCATTAAGTATGCATCCAATAGAATAATGTCATGTGTCAAGTAATCCTTTTTTTTATAAAATGTCATAACTTTTTTATACTTACTCCCATTTTTATAAAATTTATACCAAATTAAATATCTTTTTATGATCTTTCATTTGACATCAATATCATATATGTAATTTTTAAAAAAATCTAATCAAGTCTCGTGAACGATCAAAAAATGTATATTTACTATTATTTAAATCTAGTCTAGTCTGATCTGATTCTATTTGTTTGAACCTATCTGGTTTGAAATCAATTCAATTAAAAAATACTATGGTAACTAATACCATTCACATCATAAATCTAGTCATGTAACATATATGATCGTAATGTGGAATCAACATGGTGCTGATGTAGTTTTAAAGGTGAGCCCCTCCACGTCTGAAATTAGTTCAACAAATAAAAAATGAAGGTAATTAGTTTACTAGAATTAAAATGTTACTTATTCAAATATATAATCTAATATAGAATTTCCAAAAATTAATTATTGGGTGACATTAATTTATTATTAGTATAATAATGCAAACAAAGATGTTTTTAATTGAATAAAAATTTATTGGTCTAGTCTAATATAGTATAATGCTATCTTATTTGTTTTATTTAAGTTTGGTCTAATATAATCTGAACTGGTCTGCACTATTAGATGTATGTTTATGTGCGGGTGTTTTTTTTCTAACTGTGTTAAACAACTATCGAAAATTGATATGGTTTAAATTGAGATAAAAAACTTCTCAATTAAAAACATCCTAGATACTGTCATATCGTAGTTATATGATTATAAAGATGAATAACAAAGTATATATATGACCATCAAAATATTAACGAATATTGTATACCGCAAATTTAATGAATCACATCACAAAGAACTGAGATACAGATAGTGAGGAAGATGAATAGCTCATAAGTGTGAAAATCAAGAGTACTATTTTTTAGATATTTTTTAGATTCATCCTTCATTGTATAAGAAGATTGTAAAAAAAATTATAGAAGCAATAATAATGGGTTCCAAATATTTGTATAGTAGTTGTTTGATAGTAGTTAGAAAGTGTAATCTTGATTGAATTAGGAATTTAAGTGTACGTTGAGAACTGTTTGAAAACATTTAAGTGTATTTGGAAAAATCTCACACAAAATTTTGGAAACATAAGGCCAGCACATTGGGCCAACATAAGATTATGAAAAATGTTTAATTTGGTCTATTTTTTTGTAAACATTGGAAA